ATATAACAGCATCCAAATAATAAATCTGGTTTTTAAGGTTCATATGGTTCCCAACGACTAGTAATTAACCTTTCTAATCATTTGCCAGGAGAAAGATAAACAAATAAATAAACTTTCGTAATGCCCGGTATGTATCTGAATAATATAATTGTTTTTCTTATTAATCTGAGATCATGACCCGTCTCGTACTTTATGAGGGCCCAGTGCAAAATTAATATATTTCAATACCAACCAAAAAAGTTTTAGAAAAAATGGGCCTTAAATTTTTTTAAAAAGGACAATAATTACTAACTAATTTTTTTGGTGAAATTTTGTGGACCCTGTGCAATTACACTCTGGGCACATGCACAAAGACGGCCCTGTCTGAGATATCAAGTCATGTGAAAAAATCCAAACTAATCTAAAGAAAAAAGAAGTGTAACTTAGAATATTCTCTTCAGATATGCAAATATATCCAAATATATAGATTCATATCCGTGTAAATATCCAGAAGTAATATAATTTAGTTTCGTATAATAGATGAATCAAACCTAAATCATGTTAACATCTTAACATTTTTTTCTTAATATCCGATCAATCGACTGAAAGAAATTATATGATCACAAGGATTTTAAACCTTAAGAAGTATCAAGTTGAAAAAATCATTTTTCCATATACCCACCAATCCAAACAGAGACTACAACTGAATTTACCTTTATTATTGTTATCTTGTCTTCCACCAAAAATACAAGTAACAATAAGAAAGATAAATTTAATTTGTATCTTAATTAATTAATAACTATATCTAAAAGCAAGACCTAATTAGAATCTGTTTTCGTGGTTTACATATAGAATCTGATTATGTTGATGATAAAAAGAAAAAAAAAATCTGAAATCAAAACATGGTTTATTTTATGAACATATGATTTAACTGGTTTTTATGTAGATGTAAGATTGAAAACCTCTTAATATAAATTCAAAAGTTTCAAACAAAAACTATTTAGATCCGTTTATCAATAAATACTAACTCCCATATAGATCAAAAGAATAACGTATGCTTCCACAAAAATCCGCCACACGTGTCAGGCTTGAAAAGAATGCTTTCTGGAATAGTGGCAGTTGATGTAATAATCTCCACAAAACAACTTTTAGTTGAATATTTTATTGAGCAAGAGAGGAGATAAGTAACCAATCAGGAACGGCCAGAAAAACAAAAACTTCTGAACAATAACCACAAAACTCGTAATATTGCTGACAAAAAAAAAACTCGTAATATATAAAAGGAGTTATTTGTGCAATAACCAAAAATTTATACTCACAACTCAAGCTTAACTTGAAAAAACTCGAAGTTGGCTCACTAGTAGGGCCGACCTAGCTTTTGGTCTAACAAATTTTACAGACATCGGGCCTCATAACCATTTGATGCTTCGTTTACTTTTCTTTTTGTTTAAATTTGATACTTCATTAAAAAGCAATATTGTTATTATCAGAATGTAATTTGATAACATACAGTCAAAACTCTATAAAGTAATAATGTTGGGATTACACTAAAACTATAATTTGTATTAATTTATAGAGATTACTAAGTTATCGATATACTAATTGAACCAAAAACTTAATTTGAAACTATAAAATTATATTATTTTATAGAAATTTTTAGTGTATATTAAATTATATATTATTAATTTAAAGAGGTTATACTGTAATTTAGAATAATAATAATAATAATTTTTATTTTTAAGAAAATTTCTAATGGTTTCTTATAATAAAATATTATTTATGTTAATATTGTTTTTGTTAATACATATTTAAAAAAAAACTATTTATAAACTTACACATGGAAAATATTACTGATGAAATATTTTGAGTTCGTATTTGACATACACATTTTTCTTCTTTTATAAATATTGAGAATTAGTAAATTCGTTCATACATGGATCTTGATAGAGATGAGAAATAATGTTGTTTTGTGTTAAAATTATCTTTAATAAAGTGATCTATTCAAATGAGTTGTAAAATTTTAGTTTAGAATGAATCTCATTCACATGACTAAACCAAATGAGTTGAATTGATGCATCTCAATAGAAATGAATTTTTACAAAATAATGACAAATTTACATATCTTAATAAATATAAGGACTCAGATTTAGACAAACAAATAATATGATATATTTTCTCAAAATATTACAAATCCACATTTTATCTACAATCTCAAAAATACATTTTTCGCTAAAATCACAAAACACATTTCCATTAAAACCGTAAACTTAAAATTTCTCACCAAAATTGCAAACACACTTTTTCCATCAAAATTATAATTCTACATTTTCCACCAAAAAACAAAAATGTTTCTACTAAAAACCCAAAAAACATTTTCACCAAAACCGCTAAATCAAATTTTATGTTAAAATTAACCGTCAAAATTTTCAAAAATAGATTTTTCGCTAAAATAGTGAAAAATATTTTTTGTTAAAACCACAAACGTATTTTTTTATTTAAAACAACCAAAATTAATTTTCACCAAAACCACTAAAATCATATTTTCCAACTAAATCACCTTTCCGTAAAAATCACAAAAATCTATCTTCCCGCAAATTCACAAAAATGCATTTCATGCAAAACATCAAAATCACATTTTTTCACCCAAAACCGTAAAACACATTTTTGGTCAAAACTGAAAATCATATTTTCTTGTCAAAACCGTAAAATACATTTGTATGGCTACCATAAAAATGCATTTTTCGCCAAACCACAAAATCTCATTTTCTCACCAAACTTTTTTTCTAAAACCTCAAAACTGTACTTCCTCTCAAACTGACAAATCAAAAATTTCTGCCAAAAATTGAAAAATATATTTTCCTGCAAAACCATAAAAATAATTTTTTTGATTAGACTGCAAAATCATATTTTCCTACAAACTTGCAAAACTGCATTTTTCGACAAACCCGCAAAATTATATCTTTACACCAAAACTATATTTTGGAATAATTATGTTTAGATAAATATTAGAAATTATCATTAAACATAAAATAAAATGAAGATTAGACCAAAACAAAGGTATATAAATCATTTTCACTAATTCATTTATATGAAAATAGAGATGAGCAAAAACGGAAATTCATTTAGTTGATCAATCTTGATAAACTATCTAGATGGATAAAAGAAGACTCTTGAATAACATCTTGATAGATCATTTGGATGTATCATATGAATGAAGATCATAGATGTACAAACCACAAAACTCTTAAAAATATGAGCATTGCAATATTTAATTGATCGTCAACTGTTTATGAAATTTTTCATAGTATTTTAACAGCTCAAATACTTTTATAACACATACCTCTTTCATTACTTTCAGAAAGAAAAATACACAAAAACATTTATTTATTAATTTTTTAAAATCTATTAATAGCCAATAAATATTCTCAAATATAAAACCAAATTCCTATAATCAAAATATCTTGTCAAAATAAAAATATATTATTACGTTTTAATAAGTTTTTATTTTTTTGAACCATTTTTCACACACAAAAAGTAATTATTTTTCCGAGTTCATCATATAACTACAAATAATGGGATAAATTGGAGTCTAGATTCCACCTTCGAAGGTATTAGTAAAAACAAAATCACTAAGATAAAATGATTTATTGAATGATTAATCTTTTCAAATTTCTTTTCTTATTATAGTAATTTGACTAATTAATAATTCAAATATTTTCATATCATGAAGTTTAAATTTCAAGTTTAAAAAGGTGAATTATACATATTAAAGGACAAAAGTTATATATCATCGTCATCATAGAGTAAGGAATATATAACGACTCAGAATAATGCAATCAAACATGAAATTTCATAAAGCATGTATAAGTACTGGCAGTATAATTATTCAGAATATTTGCTTTAGTTTAGAATAGTATAATTAGTTAACACTGAAAATTTTATTTAAAAAAATATTTTAAATGCCAACTGCGTAATTAGATGGATAAAATGAGTATATGGTTTTTTTAATGTCATTTTCCACACATGTATTGTAGATTGATAATTTTCTTTAGGTACTTTCAGCAGTTTTATTAGTTTTTTTTCTGCATATTATTCAACGTAAAAAAAATAATAATTCACTCATTTTCCTACGTGTGTATTATAGATGGATATTTTCCCTTACGTTTTTTCAGCAGTTTTAGTAATTTCTTTCTACATACTCCCTCCGTTTCATATTAAGTGTCGTTGTAGAGAATTTTTTGCGTTACAAAATAAGTGTCGTTTTCGGTTTTCAATACAAAATTTATTAATTTTATTATGTAATTTGTTTTTCTATTGGTTAAAATATGGTTAGGTGTATGGGTAACTGTGTTTTTATATAGGAAATATGTAAAATTAATTGTTTTCTTAATCCGTGTGCACAGCTGTAGAGTGACACTTATAATGAAACAGAGGGAGTATTATTTAGCATAAATGGTATAAAATCTCAACCTACATGGATGGTTTTACCATATTTTATCCATCTAGTTACACAGGTATCTAGAATATTGTCCAAATAAAGTCTTTAATATTGATTAATTATATTACTACAGACTAAAAATATAACAAAACAATTATACCGCCAATAATTATACATGTTTTATGAAATTATATGTTTAGGGGTAATATTCTGAATCTTTATATACTTCTTACACTATGCTAAAAAAATCTATCTAAAGCCTTTTTGTTACCAAAAAAGGTTTTAATAAATTAATGTGACTACTTTTAACGCAAGCGTAACGCACCAGAAAATGGAAAATATGAATAGCTCATGAGATTGTTCACCCAAAAAAAAGAGAGATCTGTTGTTAAAGAAAAAAAAAGAGATCATGGGAAAATAATTAAAAAAAAAAAGAAGAAGTAGGGGTGTAGGACCGAGTGTAGACAAAAATATCATGTCACTGTTATTCGAACTTCGAAGAGTCTCCTTCGTCTCTAATATTTATTTTATTTTCCTTTTCTACAAAAAAAAAAAACATACCAAATCCGAGAAGTTAATAAGAAAAAAAAGAGAGAATATAAAAGGGGTCTTATTCTTTTATTTACGCTGCATTCGCTCACAGAATCTGAGAGAGAGAGAGAGAAAAGCCAGAGACGACGAAAGAGAGAGAGAGAGAGATCGAAGAAGACGGCTTGGGAGGTTTCTTCGTCTTCTCTTCCATGGAGTATCGATTATTTGGCAGTCTCTCTTCTCTGTATTTAAATTAAATCAAAAATCAAAATACGGTATATTATTAGTGAATCTCGGGAGCACTTTTTTTATTGATTATTCTCTTTTTACTTTTTTTTTTTTATAATTTTGTTACATTTATCGATAAAAATTGTGTGTCGCCGCCGATTTGGGAGTGAGTGTTTACAGATTATCTACGAACCGATTAAACATCACTTTCTCCTCCTCTTCTCTTCAAAACTGCGATCAGATGATTATGTAAAATCTCTGAGGTAAAATCTCTATCCACCTAATTTTTATTTTTATTTATTTTAATTTTAATTTTAATATTTTTTTTTAATTATATAGTTTATTTTCCATTTTTGTCTTTTATTTCTGTCTAATGAATTTAGGTTAGTCAAGTCAAATCGATCCAGAATCTATATCTCCTTTTATGATTATAATGTTCATTTTTGCACTTTAGATTTTTTATTTTTGTTTTTGGTATATTTGGATTAGTTTGCGTGTAACCTGGGTTTTATTTGATCAATGAGGATTCGGATTTGTAAAAAGATGGGAGTCTGAATTTTGATACATAATCATATTTTCATGATCTCTTAATAATCATAATCTCTGATTGTAATTCTACACTTATTTTTTTAATAAAGTTTTTACATAACAATTTAAAAGCGGCTGCACTGTTTTTTAGTATGAAAAGCTTTGTGCTTTCAATAAGAAATCTCAGTGAAGATTTTAATACTTGCAGTTTGGTCTGTGGCGGATATGATATATGAGAGAGATTTCATGAAACATACAATGCTTGAACACGACGCCGTTTTCAAGAATCAGGTCTCTCTGTCTATATACTACTCTCATTTCCCTCTTATGGTTTCATTTTAAGTGTCTGAAAGATTCTGACATTTTTATTGATGGCAGGTGCATGAACTTCACCGTTTGTATAGAGTACAGAGGAACTTGGTGGATGAAGTAAAGGGAAAGAATTCGAATGAAGAAGGAAGCAGCTCTCAAGCTTGCAACGGTCGTTTGCCAAATAAGAGAAGAATGATTGATCTTGAGCTCCCAGCCAATGAGTTTCTTGATATGGATGAGACTGGTGATACCGATGAGATTACAACTTGTCTTCCATACAAACGGCTAAGATCGGCAAGAGAGGATGGTTCTCATCAGAGCAACTATTCTTCAGGGTCGTGCTTGGATGTGAAGAACTCAAATGGCTTAGCTGACTTGAATGAGCCACTCAATTGGCAAGATTCGGAACCTGTTGCTGCTCTCTCCAGGTCCAGGGACATGTATTCTCATTATGGAAGAAGCGATGCAGATGTTCAAAGGCAGTGGTTAGAGAAAAACACTAGTCAAAATGGATGGATGGTTCTTGGCGCAGGTTTTACATGCTCTTCACTTTCATTAGATTTCTCTATTTTTTTTTTAAATGAAATAAAACTGTGTCGTGTGTCTTTCTTCCTGCTTCATACGTTTTGTGAGCTGAAAATATGACCTAGTAGTGTCTGATAATGCACTAAATGTGTTGATGATTCATTTAATGGTTTTGATTTTATCCGTTTTTGCTCATCTTCCATCATAAATGGTTTCATGTGGCTGTGTCTTAATAGGGCACGACAGAAGCACTCAGGGAGATCTGCATCTACCTTCCCATTCTGCTCAAGTACGTTCAAACAGCGCAGTTCAACCTCTGAGCTATCTCACAACTGATCATAACAATGCAAGATTCTCCCGGGAAAGAGGGTATCCTGAGCTGGAAGTACGTGCGACGAATCCTCAAGCTTCTTATGATAGCTACGTGGCATCTAATGCTCCAAGATTACACAATGACTACCGCCATGACTTTGTCGGACCCTGGAGCCAATGGTCTTCACCGTGGGAGAACCCTAGGAGCAGCTCACATCAGAGATCTTACCCAGTTCAAACGAATCCCTACAAGAAATTTGTTTCGCATGCAAGGACAGATTCAAGTTTTGAAATGAGAAACCCTGTCCCTAACGGGATTCATCATGGATTCTCTTCAGGGTCGAAGGAGGCTACCTTTAGTTTCCCATCAGGCGGCTTTAGACCAAATGCTTCTTTAGGTGAGGTGGTGAAGCACCAGAGTTCTGAAAGCCTTCAAGGGCCAAAAAAGCAGGAATCCTCAGCTGGGTTTCCTTGGCTAAAACCTAAGCCTTCTTACAAAAGTGAAATATCCAATGGCTTCTTTGATTTGAATGTGTCGACTGATCAATTCGAGGGAACTGATGCAGGAGACGGTCTGAATGGTGTTTCTCCTCAGAAGGGATTGGTATCATCTGCTTCATACTCTAATAATGCCAACATGGGAAGATTTAAAATGGTATACCCACAGAGTAATGTTCAACTTATTGGGTGTCCACAGAAGGAGCATGCTCCACTTATCTCTCACTCCGCTGATCAACATAAGGAAGTAAATCACTTGGTGAAGCGAGACTTCGATATCAACCTGCCATGTGATGCCTCGGTTTCTGCTGACCAGTATGGTTCTAAAGCCTTTTGTGCCGAAAAGGAAGAAGGAAACAAAGCAGTCAACAATAGACACTACATTGATCTGAATTCATGTGCTAGTGAAGACGATGAAAATTCCAGCATGCATCCCAGTCTGAGAGTGAAAACAAAAGGAAATAGTTGGATAGATTTGGAAGCACCTCCCGCTCTCGAGAGTGAAGAAGAAGGAGGGGGCTCGCAGGAGAAATCAGAAGAAGAAACTTGGGGATTTATGAAAGGCCAAGACGCTAACTCTTTGGATGAACTCATCAAGGAAGCAGCACAAGCAATAGTCGCCATCTCATTATCTGATCACCAACGTCATCCTGATGACGCAGCTTCCTCTTCAGCTGATACGGCTTCAAAAAGTCCGCTCTCCTGGTTTGCAGACTTTATCACTTCTTGGGGTGATGAGTTAGAAAGAAAGGTTGATGGGTCTCCAGAAGCTACAGACTTTGAGGGTTACCGGGAAGAATACACTTCCGGAGAGATTGATTACTTTGAAGCCATGACCCTGAACTTACGTCCGACTAAGGAAGAAGACTACATGCCAGAGCCCTTAGTCCCGAAGAATCTGATACTCGAAGGGACGGGTGTAAACAGGCTAAGAAGAGGACAAGCAAGACGAGGAAGACCAAAGAGAGATTTCCAGAGAGATACACTCCCTGGACTCTCTTCTCTATCGAGGCAAGAAGTCACTGAAGATATGCAATTGTTTGGTGGGCTTATGAAAACCAAAGAGCACACTTGGAGTTCTGGAGTGGCTTCTCGACGGAACTCAAAAAGAAAACGAACGGTCACTAACATAAGCCAAACTCAAGTTTGCCCGTCAACGGCACAGCATGAGAACGTATCAGTGGCTGGACTTGAAGAGAGTAAGCTAACAGGATGGGGAAAAGCAACAAGAAGACCGAGAAGACAAAGGTGCCCTCCTGCAGGTAATCCCGCAACTGTGATCTATACATGATAAATTTAATCGGAACTTGCCAAACCTTTTGAAACTTTATTATAGAGGGTACAATTATTATACAATAGATTGATCTCACCTTTGTTGGGGGTGTTGTATATCTTGTCTTCTGTAACATGGGTTAAAACATTATATGCTATTTATTTAAAGCCTGGTTGGGTATAAAAACAGATAAGATATGACAATTTGTTGTCACATGTCACTGTTTGGTGCCAAGGTAGAAGATTGTCTTTGATGATTCAGAGACATTGACAAGGTTTTCTTTGACAATTGATTAGAAAATAAAAACTTTGATTTTACCTTCTGAAGCAAAAGCATACTTGAATCTGAAGCAAGTAAATGAAAACAGAGAGGAAACACCAATAATGACAACAAAATTTTGGATAACTGAATTCATTCATCAATAGGAGCAGGAAGATTGAGATCGATGAGTGTATGCATCTCATGAGCTACTTGGTGGTGTTGTTGGATCACCAAAGTCCTGTGATCTTGACTCCCAATGAAATGTGATCTCTTGTGACCACCTAAAGCTTGTCCTGATTTAAAAACCCTGAAGCAAATTGGACACTCGTGACCTTTGCTTTTCTTCTTTGCACCACTTGCATTCTTCACCATTGTGGATTTACTACTATGAATCTTGATACTTCTGTTTGTGTCCGCACAAGAATCGGTCTCCAAGCTAAGCTGATCACCACTGTCATATACAGATTCAGTGAACTCATACTTTATTTTCTTTTTACCGTAAGAAAGGAACCCTCTTTTGCTTTTCCTCAGATCATACTTTGTAGAAGAACGACCTGATCCGGATCCTGAACCTGACCATTCCTTCCTGAACCTGTTCAAGCTCTTATCATGTTTTGTTGTATAGCTGTTGAATCCCATTGCAGCCTTGTTAAATCCAGTGTTCCTGAGGAACCCATCAACAGAAACATCTGATTCCAACTTCTTTGGTCCATTCCTGAAGTATCCAGAATCAGAATTGTCTGAATCATACATAACATCACCATTATTATCCACTCCTCCAAGTTTGTCTTTCTTACAAAACTCCTCAACATTCTTCACATTTAAGATCTTCAGCTGTTCCCCTGAAGATGACTTAGTCTCAAGAATCACAGAGTTGTTGTCTGATGACTCAGCCAGAGAGTTCACAACTAAGTTATGTCCTTTCTTGAAACTTGAGTCTCTTGACAGCATCATCAGAGACAATGCCGTTTCCTCTTGTTCCGGCTCAATCTCAGAAGCATCTGAAGATGCTGCTGAATCGGCTTGATCCATGATGCTGCCACCATCGACAAATGCATCAGCTTTGTGGTGATGATGATATTGTTTCACAGCTCTCTTGGATCTTCTCCTGATAGGAGACGAAGAAGCTTCTGTATCAGATTGACTATCCATCACAATCTTCTCTCTCTCAGAGTGACAAGCCATGTGGCCACAAAGAGCTTTAGAAGAAGTGAAACCTTTACCACATTCTCTGCAACAAAGAAGTTCTTGCTGATGTTGCTGAGCCATCATGTCTCTGTGAATCACAAACTTCTTGTTCTTTTTAGGATTCTCTCTCAGACCGTAACTAGCTTGACCTCCATTTTCGTCTATTCTGAGCTTGTTGTGCTCATCCTCTTCTGAATCAGCTGAGTTCTCTTTGTTCATGTGAGTTCTGATGTGACCTCCGAGTGATTTGCCACAAGGGAACCTCTTGCTACAGAACTTGCACACAAACTTCCTCTCTTTGTACTGCTCCATCTTCTACCTTAAAGACAAAAGATCAAACACTGTATAAAGCACAGATCAAAAGAAGAAAGGGAAACTAGTGAGAAAACCCATTTGTCTGATTTACCTCAAATCTTGGAGGAAGACAATGAACTAGAGAAACATCAAGCTCAAAGCTTGATACTTTCTTACAGAGATCAGTTTTTGGGGAATGTAACAGTCCTCTCTTGTTAACTTGAGATCCTACCATCAAGCAAATGGAGAACACAAAAACAGGAAACAAATAAAAACAGATTTTGAAATATCTAAAGTTAGCAGATTTGTTTTCTTTTTTTTTTTGTGTTTGGGAATGAAAAGACAAAAGCAAGAATAAAATGAAAATTATTAATCATATTATTTACATTTTTCAATATATAAAGGAGAAATGAGTGAATACGTGACCATAGTCTAGGCGGATTGTGCTTAAGAAGAGTGAAAGCATTACACGCATTGTATTAGTCTGTTTTGGGAAAAAAATAAGAGAACCAAAAATAAAGAAAATAGATCTATACTATTATTTGCGAAGTGATTTTTCGCAACGGAGCTCTCACGTTGAAAGTTAGACTGGTTAATATCATTTATACCCTTAATGAATTTTATATAATTTATTATATAATTAAAAACGAATTTATAATAATAATATTAGATTTATATGTTATATTAGATTATTCATTATAAACTAATATGATAATTTTCAAATTAATACATATTACAAATAAGATAATTCTTATAGATATGGTGTTGTTATCTTGAAATAATATTTTTCTATTACAAACATTTAAAATTTGATTATGATAATTTTCAAACTAATACATATTAGAAAAATAAGATAACTTTTACAGACATTGTGTTGTTATCTGAAAATAATATTATTTTATTACAAAATTAAAAATATAAATATAAAACAATCTAAATTAAATATTACTTAATCAATAACATTTGTATAATGATATTTTCTAAAATATTTCTAATATGTGGGTTTTTAATTTAAATTTTAACCTAAAATATGTGGATACAATATATATTTCGCTAAAAAAATTTATCAAATATAAATAATTTGATTTAAACTTTTTGAGAACATAAAAAATATTTATTTTTGAGAAAGCATAAATAATAATTTATCATGTTGATTGATATTGATAAGAATATTATGCCAGCATGGCGGGCACAACACCTAGTTAGTATTAAATTGGTATACATGTATTATATGGAGCTACCAATCGAACCAAATAAATTAAAAGATCAATCTATTAGACTTTGACATTTAGAAAATGATGCTAACAATTAATGAGTTCTATTTTGTATTAAACATAATATATCTATGTATTTAATAAATATTCTTTTGTATTTTAAGTTATTTTTAATTTTCTTAACGCTATTCACCATTTTTCATGTGTATCTTTACCTTATGTCAGAAATAAATTCATGTTTTTATTGTTCTTGTAAGAACTTTTTGGACCACAACAAGCCAGCCTATATTAAGTTCATCATAGGAGAGGTGAGAACAGTTAGTCTTTTATGTTATACCACTAAATGCACTAACAAAGTAACAAGTCTTTTAGTTCTCTGTTTTATTTTATACCTCATATTTCCACCTTTTTTTTTTGTTTTTAACTTTTTTGCTTGTTTTACAGGATTGCACTAGTCTAAATGTTTTCTTTTCATAAATGATATCAACTTTTTTCTACAACTCACACACGTAGAGTGCAGATCCAAGTTATTACACGTTTTGTAATGAAACTTATATTTAGAAAATTGGCGACAAACAAAACAAATATTTTCTTACATAAATTTTGTGTTTTCTATTGTGTTTTTTTTTAATATTGAAACAAAAGAAATATTGCTATAATTGTTCTTTACATTTTCTTTCATACCTTTTTCTTTACGTAAAATTAAATTTTTTTTCTACAACTTATACAGTACTGTTTATGTTGTTGACAAAACAAAAAAAAAAGATCGGATGATTATGTCATGCTTAAGTAAAATAGAAGTAATATATTAAAAAAAAAAAAAACTCATCATATTGCAGGGCTCGACTAGCTAGTGTCTAATTGAGTATTGAGTATGGAGTATCGACAGAGACAAGCGAGCGAGCATCACAGGAGAGAGAGCATACATATAAGATTATACCGTCATCGCCCATCAATTTCTTAAGAATATACCGTAAGTTTTATTATTCATAGACCAATGGTGACTTTGAAGTTACATATATACAACACCCAGATTAATGGAACTCATGCGTTTCTCTCCTCCTCTCCCAACCATATCCTACGTACTATAAATCTTTTTCTTTTATAAATTCATTAAAATAAGCAGATAAATTAAAAGAAAGACATTGCAAGAATATACTATTTCCAAGATTGTTTCCACGCTCATACAAAGTCTTAAGAAAACAAGCGTGGAAATAGTAACAACGTCTCCTCCTCCATAACAAGTAGATATCAAGAGAGTAGAATTCAAGATTCAAGAAACATCTTCAAAGAAGAAATGATCGAACCTTCGTCTTCAGGAGAAAGAATCTGTATCCAAAAACACAAGTAGTACTCCAAGAAACGTGTCAGCTATAAAATATTGTAACTAGTAGGTGGTCTCTCTCTCTCTATACATATGTATGTTAGTTGTGAAGAGGATTTGGACCGGAGGGGACGAGTCTTTTATCGACGCCGTACCTTGGATCAATCTCCAGCGGAGGAGCGGGAGCAAATGGCTGCCTCCGGCTGCTATGGTGGTGGATTCTTTGAAGCTCATGGCACATAGAACGCGCGTACGTACCAGAAAAAGAGTTGCAAGAACCGTTAGGATCAGTCACGTAATACGGGTGGTGAACCCTCGGGAAGTTTCTTGATGTCATCCGGTTTTCTTCAGAAGCGGAGAGAAGTAAAAAGACGAGGAGGATCAAGATCTGACGGTTCAGGTGGCTCGTCGACATTGCTTGATTTGTGTGTGAGAGAAAGAGAGTAAGATGTTTTCGTGAAGAAGGAAAGGTTTAAACTAGAAGGGAGTGAGAGAGAGAGAGAGGGAAATAAGCAAAGTGGGAGTTTAATGCAACACAGAAGATGCACATGAGTCGACGTTATGATGAGGTAATTATTTTAAAAAAAAAACGTTATGTGGGAGGTCGTTTTCACAGACATAAATATCAACCCGTGATCTTATTTTACATTCCGATCTCAATTTATTCCACTTGCTATTGCTCTTCAGATGATATGAAAACGTACAAAATGATCTGGTTTCAGTATTTAACATAAATGTGTACAAATCAATACATACAAGAAAAGACAAGAACGTGTATTCAATTATTTCTTGGGTCTCAAGCTATCTCTCTATTGGTTCTTTATTTAGCTTCCATGGGATAGAGATTCCACCAAAAATTATATAGAAAGCCTAATAAGAACTACACATCAAATGAAAAAAAGTTATATGTATATCCAACTACATACATTATAAACCACAGTAATATAATAAAACTACCAAATGTGGTCTTTTTAATATGTTTTTCTAAAATAAAATAAAATGTTTTTCTTCTTTGAAGTAACATCTTAACTTAGCACATATCTCTTTTTTTCTGCTTTCTTTTTGGTATAAATCAAAACATCATCATGTTCTACAGAAACAGAGACAGTGACTCTAGTACTTTGATTGAAGAAATATGAATAGGACCAAGGTACAAGTGCAGAGAAAGGTTTATAAAATGAAAGCTGAAATAGAGAAAAGAATTATTTAATGTTTGAAGACAAGAAGAATCTCTCAGTAAGAGACATGAAGCTTTATAACAACACTCAGAAAGAAAAGAATTGTCTAACTGATAAAGTATTTACATGAACAAATCAAAAAGCTTTTGATAAGAGTCAGAACCTTGAACATTTTTTTATAAGAGAATTCTTAGACCAAACAATCAAAAAAGCTGGATTAAGAGACCACCAGAAGAGAACAAAAACCTAGGGATGAGTTGTGGTTTCATGTGCTGATTCATTCATCATCATCATCCTGAGCAGGAACATTGAGATCCAATTGCATATCAGCTGCCGTATGTGTGATCCTGTGTCGTTGGTTTGCAATGGTATGTGATCTCTTGTGACCTCCTAAAGCTTGGCCTGAACTGTACACCTTGAAGCAAATCGGGCACACGTGGTGACCTTTGCTATTCTTGTTGGCACCAATTGCTTTCTTACTATCACTGTACCTAGGAATCTTGATGTTTGTGTCTGCAGATGAATCACTTTCATAAGAAGGCGAGACCCTTTTGCTTCTGTGCAGCTCATCACCATAGCTGAAGCTGTTGAATCCAGAACCAACTCCAGTACTGTTCCTAAGAGACCCACCAACAGAGATATCAGAGTCTGACTTCTTTGTTCCATTCATGAAGTAATCATCATCATCGTCAGAGCTATCTGAAACATAGGAACCATTCTCACTATCATCATCATCATCAGCAGCAGCAGCAGCAAACTTGGTCTGAAGAATCTCAGAGTTGTTCTCTGATGACTCAGCTGGGACCAGAGAGTTCTTGACAGCCAAGTTATAACCTTTGGTACCCAAATGCATAAACATCAGATCCTTGGCTCCTTGAACAATCTCAGGATCAGAACTAAAAGATTGAGAATTGGAGTGCTGCTGCTTCTTGGATCTTTTGATCATGGCAGGACCAGAGGAAGTAGTAGTAGTCTCAGAGGCAGTTGATTGGGTGTCAATCACCATCTTATCTCCCTCGTCGTAGTTGTGACAATCCATGTGATTGTCAAGAGCTTTCACAGAACAGAAACTTTTACTACATACGTTGCATTGATGCTGCTGCTGCTGTTTTAGTGATGCAATCTCTCGCTGATCAAGCAACCTCCTCTTGTTGTTGTTCTTGTTTGGTGAATGAATCCTGATGTGACCTCCGAGTGATTTGCCAGAAGGGAACTTCTTGTCACAATACTTGCACACAAACTCCATTTTGATTAAACACACTAAACAAGAAGAAAGCAAGAAGGTGGTTACTTTAGACTAAGGAAACGCAAAAGGAAGATCAACTAGAAGAACCCATTTGATTTTTACCTCAAATCTCCCAAGAACAATCCGGAAACTCCCAAAGGTTGAAGCTTTCTTAAGGATCAAGATTCAGGGATGTGACACTTGTTCTCTCGCTAAGTAAAAGATCCGACCTTCAAGCTCTACGAAGAAGAAGCGAAGGAGAGATTTGTTGTTAAAGAAACAAACTTTGTAAATCCCACACTTATTCTATCCTTTTAAAGTTCAGAGATTTGTTTTCACTTTTTATTGGAATTTTTGGAGCAAAAAGAAAGAAAAAAATAAATAATAATCAAGAAAGAGAAGTGTTGTTACTAACACGATTAAATCAAAACGTCAAACAAACACTCTCTCCTTTTACTCTCGCTCTCATCTCTTAGGTGTGTTCATGCATGAAAGGCAAAAAACAAAGATAGAGAGAAAGACACTGGACGGTCCAGATCTACTTCGCCCACTCTTTTACAATCCCCATCATAACTCCTTACTCAGATTTTCTATAACATTACCAAATCTTGAAATTTGCACAATCCACAGTAATTGTTTAATTAGTGATTTTTTCCCTTATTTGACAAAAAAATCTTATACCACACTGAGCGCTCTGGAATTAGTAGAGAGAAACTGAATCCGGGTACAAGTGGGTTTAAACAAACCATGGGGCCAAACATATACTTCTTGACGTCCAAACAAACCAACAACAAATAGCCTTTAAACGTTTGTCCCTTGAGAGATCCATAATTGGCTCGTCGTTCTCTGCCCCCACATATTCTCCTATTCTCAAGCAACAGACCAGACCCATTATACAACGAAATAATTAATTTCTCTAAAACTTCTGTTGGAAAATTCATATTTGATGACAAAAACGTGATGATGGTTCTGTTCCTCAAGCAAAAAAAAAAAAAAGAAAGGAAAGGCACACTTTGCCTTCACACTTCTTCCTGTACAACACTAACTTAAAGGTCACAAGGAGATAAAAATCCTAAGTGCAGTGCATCAGAGAGATTCTGACATTCTAGGTAATAAAGGATTTCCAGACAAAGAGGGTCCCAAGAAAAGTGAAACAAACATGAGCCCATTCACAAGGTTCCACACCATAAATTCATATTCTAAAAACTCTCTCTCTCTCTCTCTACTTTTGATAGAGGAACATTTGGAGGACCCAATAACCCAAAAAAGTCTCCTAGCATTCTGCATGTTGTTGAGAGTGATGTTGCTTACTTGCTTCCCCAGGATCCATGGCCAAATATCTCCTCCATAATGCTCCGTGTTGGTTGAAGATCTTTGCCATTTGTTGACACTTTCGGGTACATCGGATCACTGCACTCCTTCGACTTCTTCTCATGCTCTTCAATACCTGTCTCGTCTTTCTTTGTACAGTTCGTCCAGACAGAGTTCAACGCATCATGTGCAAGTTCATAGGTCGTATATGAGTCATCTTCCACGTTCATTCTCTCCTCATTGCACCCGGACAATCTATCCATATGCTCAGCACCACCTTCTCTGGTATCCACATAATCATTGTCACTAACACTGACATCTTCTTCACCTTCTTCTTCATGGAAGGGATGCACTTTCTCATTGAACTTGTCAGTACCTTGATGAAGAGGAGATTCAATAGCAGATTCTTCTTCTTCTTCATCTTCCTCAACGTATTGAGGACCCAAAGAACATCCATAACCTCCATGCCATTCATCATCGTCACTATCAACGTCCAGTATCAAAGACCTGTTCTGGATGGCCCTTCGTCTGAGGACAAAAACGTTGAAGTAGTAGCTAACAATCTCGTGATTAGTTCGGGAAAAGAAGGCAGCTTCCAAGTGCCTCCAAAAGTTCCGACCTAACGTCACAGGATTGGAGTAAACAACCTCATGAAAAAGTATTGCATCTTGGTCGCTCCATCTCTTTGCAACCTCTTCTCCCATTTCACAGAAGCCCAGCTCTCTAAATTTCTCAAAACCAAGCACCTTAACCAATTCTTCCCTAGCTTCTTTGACGTGCTGGCGCACACACCTTATAGAACCCCTGTCATGACAGACACAGGACTCTCTACCCTTCCCTATGATACCATCCACATTTTCAGGCAAATCCAAAACCGGCAAGGGAACCACACATGTACCAGATAGCTTCGACGTGTCTGAAGCTTCTAGGCTCCCATGACAACCTTCAAATTCAGGAATCATGGCTTGATGATCTGGTCCGATGGGCACTTGCTTTCTAGCAGGCTGATCCAAGAGGAAAGAATACAAAGTCTCAACAGGAGAACATGGTCTTGGAGGGACAAGACCGAGCTCAAAATAGCTTGTAGAATGAGGAGTGTGAGCTGAGTCTTTTCCGTGGAAATCTTTCATGACCGGATCAAAACAACCATCCATGCCATGGCCATAGTAAACAAAACTGGATTCTTCATCAAAGGTTTCATCTCCTTGAGGTTGTAAGAGATCTACCTCGTTCACTGTAATACATAACCCCATTCAAAAGAAATGATTCAATAACATAGCAGAATTTGGTTCACTAAAACCAACGATTAAAAATTCACAAACAAGTTATCGTTACCCGTGGCAAGAGGTTTCTGCGAAACAGCATGTCGTGGAATAAACTCTTCAAACTGCGTCGACTTATCACTAAAGCCAAGCTGTCTAGAATGTTTGAACGGGAGCTCATGAAACTTCTCATCATCGAAAGGGCGTTTGAATCCCATTTTCGCAATCTACATTTACATGCAAGAGAAATTTAAGGATAAGAATCATCTCACAGTTGCAGGCAAGAGACGTTAAACAAACTTTATGTAAGACACCTAACTGTATAAAACTATAAGTTCCTCTAACGAGAATAACTATCCCGCCATGCTACTTAAAACATACATGCACCACAACATTGAACAATTACAATAACAAAAGAAAAACTGATAAAAGTAGTAATGTTTTAAAATAACAGTTCAGACAAGAATTGTCTATTAGTTACCTTTCTATAGGGACAAGAGCTCAGATAATGTTACAGGCCAACTGCACAAAGGACGGAACCAAACTAGAACGTCACCACAACACTCAAATATTATAAAGTAGGAAGCTTAGGCGATTCAGAAGATTATGCTGTAAAAAAAATCGAAAATCCCCAAATCAGAAAAAGCCCTAACCCTAATCCCCAAATCAAGAGTGGAATAGATAAGAATCGAAAAAATATATACGAATCAAGAGAAATCCCTTCAATAATTTACAGATCTGGAGAGTTCTGGGATAGATCGGAAAATAAGAACCCTAGATCTCAATCGAGGACGAAAAACATGAAATTAACATCAAAACAAAAGGGGCTTTTCACGAAAAAACCGAGCAAACAGCGAAATAAAGCGATGGATCTAGAAATTTTACGACTTGTGAGGAGATCGATAACCCTAACCCTAGATCTATGTGGACAAAGGGGAAAGATTCAATATTTGGTATCAATAGAAAGAGGGAAACGTGAATTAGATGAATCTACAGCTCAATCGAAACATTAATCAAGAAATCGAAGTAAATCGAAAAAAAAAAGAAATTTGGATTACGTTGAAAAATTTGGGGAAGAACACGAAAGAAGATAAGATCGAAGAGAGGTGGATATGGTTCCTGCTATAAGCGGCCCAAAACACTAATTCGGGTTGACCCGCAAAAAAAATCCCTAAAAATCAGCTGGACCACAAACTTAAAACCTTTTCACTCAAGTCCTTACTGTTCCATAATTTTCACACTTTACTCCTTATACTTTTACAACGATCAATAAACCCCAATTTGAACATATAAAAGCACAAGATTTGTTACCTTCTAGAGAGGATTTTCCCAAATATAAATATAAAATTTTGTATTCATCATATACTCTTCCAACTTAGGCAGATTCAGACGTTACAACAAGGTTTAGGAATCAGAAGGAAACTCAATACTATTTATATATATATAGGAATATGAAGTTGTTGTCTCCTTCATGCCACAGAAGGCATGTCCTTGAGCCATGAATCAAGCGGCTTACCAATGGAGTAAACAATAAATCCAATCTCACGCAGCTTCACCGCATCAACAACATTCCTACCATCAAACACAAAAGCAGGCTTACACATATTCTCAAAGATCCTCTTGAAGTCCAATGTCTTAAACTCATCCCACTCAGTCAAGACACAAATGCCATGCGCGTCTTTAGTGGCCTCATAAGCATCCGAGACGACACACACTTGCTCCAACATACCTTCAGCTTTGATCTTCTGAAGATGAGCTGGATGGTCCCAGTCAAACCTAGCCATGGAAAGATCTTTCCTTATCTGTTCCTCAAGGACTTGTGGGTCGTATATGCTCAGCTTGGCCATGTCAGCGACTAATCTGTTGCAAACATCAATGGCTGGCGTCTCTCTAGTGTCACCTGTGTCTTTCTTGAACGCAAAACCGAGTATAGCTATTTTCTTGCCTGAGACGGTGTTGAACATTGAGGAAACAACCCGGTTTGCGAACCGGGTTTTCTGATAGTCGTTCACCTTGATGACTTGTTTCCAGTAGTTAGCTGCTTCAGGCAAGCCGTTGCATTCACAGATGTAGATGAGGTTGAGGATGTCCTTTTGAAAACATGATCCACCGAAACCGACACTTGCGTTCAAGAACTTAGGACCGATTCTTGTATCTGTACCAACCGCATGAGCAACTTGTGTGACATCAGCTCCTGTTGCTTCACATAGAGCAGACATGGCGTTGACAGATGATATCCTCTGAGCCAAGAAAGCGTTTGCTGCTAACTTGGAGAGCTCAGCTGACCAGAGGTTAGTGCAAATGATGCGTTCCAACGGAACCCAATGAGCATAAACATCTGTCAAAGCTTTAACAGCCTTTTGTCCAGCTGGATTATCCCTCCCACCGATTAACACACGGTCCGGATTATAAAGATCCTTAATAGCAGTACCCTCAGCGAGAAACTCAGGGTTAGAGAGGATCTGAAACTCAATCCCTTTGCTGTTATGCATCAGTATCTTCTCAATAGCCTCTGCTGTTCTCACAGGGACAGTGGATTTCTCAACAACGATTTTACTAGATTTAGAGACGTCAGCGATCATCCGAGCAGCACTCTCCCAGTAAGTGAGATCGGCAGCTTTGCCAGCGCCGAGGCCTTGTGTTTTTGTAGGAGTGTTGACTGAGACAAAGACAATGTCACTCTCAAAGACATGTCTCTCCACGTCTGTGCTGAAAAAGAGGTTTCTCCCTCTGCATTGTTTGACAACATCGTCCAAGCCTGGCTCGTAGATAGGAAGTTTGTCGCTGTTCCAAGCGTTGATCCTTGGCTCGGAGATGTCTACAACCGCTACTTCGATCTCAGGGCACTTGAGAGCCATCACTGCCATGGTTGGACCACCTACGTAGCCGGCGCCAATGCAGCATATCTTCACCATCTTCACCACAAATGCAGAGTAAAAAAAACAAAAAACAGTTAATTATACAAAAGAGTGAAACTTTAAATAACAGTGTCAATTATACACGTGCGGCATTAAACCAAACACCTTATAGGCTCAGATCTATCAATTTTTAAAGATGATCACAGTAGAACAAAGCTTCCAGGTTTATAAAAGAGTCATCACCTCAAAACTAACGCAATGCGACAAGATCAGTTTGGTTGGTCTCGAAGATCATATTTTGACATAAAGGGTGAGCGCAAAAATCCTATAACTCGAGTTTTGAGCAAAAAGGTATGATCTATCGATTCAAATTACACACGAGAACAGGCGAATGAGCAGATAAAAAGCAAAAAAAAAGTTGAGAACTTTACCTTGCAGATACTCTTTTCTACGAGACTTGAGAGTGTAGAGAGGGTTTACGGTGAAGAAAATGAGAGAGAAAAAAAGATATTTGCTACGGTGGAGACGATGGTAATAACAGAGAAGATATCTTATGATGAGAGTTATAAATACACTCACACACGGAGAGAGCCACTTGACTTGCACATTTCAACTTTTGATTTATTTCTCCAAAAACACTCCACACGCTTTTATCTCTGTTCAATTATTATGATGCTTTACCAGAATTTGGTTACAGATTTTGGCCACATCCACATCTCAAAGTTTACTAATTCACTAATTATATAGAAGAATAAATCTGGATTCTAGTGACTTTAAGGGCAAAACCCCATTTAACTTTACCTTTGTTAAAAGATAGGTCTTCTAATAGGAATTTATAAATGCCATAGTTAAGCAACTTCGTTTTCAATTTAATTCATTGAGGTATTCTCTCTGCTCATATTAAATGTACTGAGGGATAAAATCATTTTTGTTTTCAATTTTCTCATATGATGAATGAATGTTGCAAGTGGTGCATTCAATCCTCTTGGATCTACTTTTTTCAAAACAAATTTTGAATATGTGTGAAATAAATTGACACCATTAATTTTATTGTTAAACATCTCTTGTATATTAATTGAGAAGTATTACAACCTTTGAGTGTAGCCACATGTCATTCCCAAGATAATTTTCAAAATTCTTAGAAAAATATATTGGTCTAAATATATAATTTACTTTTCATTAAACTAATAATAGAATTAATTAAGAGTGAACAATTATTAATTTCCTGTCCTTATATAAAAGCTACATATTTACCAAATATGACTAATATATATATGATAATCAATGATTTTAATAATAAAATTTGATAACAATTTTGATCTCCTTCATCATTTTTATTTAACTTTATATTATTAAAATAAAAAATTTATATTTTTTGGTATATGTTATATTTTGAATTTTAGAAAATTTAATATGTTATTCCGCACGTTTATATGTTAGAAACTATAATATGTTATCATCTATTGTATATATTCTCCCTTTTCCAAAGGGTTTCATCATAAAATAATATGTGCGTAACAATTCAGAATAGAATAAAATTTTATAAATTACTAATGTTAATTTTATAATATTTTATTAATTTATAGAATTATTAATTTAAAGAAAATTTCCTTTTATATATTTAAAGTATATTTTCTGTAAAAAAAAAAAGAAGAATACGATTTTTATGGTATAAATCGATTAAATTATACAAATATTCTATTCATTCTTATTCTGTTATCTATATATATAAAGTATTGTTTGCTCCCTCATGCCTCTGCCACGTCATCAATTCGTGCATTCTGGAAGCGACATCTGTCCATTCATCAAAACGCAGCGGTTAGTTTTCGTTTGGTTTATATTCTACACGAGTTAGCTATTTATAGTGGGCCGAAAACTAATATTATCTTGGCCCATTAGATGCTTCTCTTTGACAACGTGAAGACAAGGGTTCTTCGTCTCCAGCGAGATTGCTTAGGTTTAATATCAATGGAGGTTCAGAAAATCTCAGGGAGGCGAGTCTTCGTGAGTAATCGTTACGTCGGTTCATGTAGTGACTTTTCGTTTACGATTCATCCCCTCTCAGGCGTTACAAGTTGCGTTGATTCAACGTCATTAACAAGATCTTAACTCCTTGGACCCACTCCTCACACGATTCATCAAGAAAGCATCCCCCTTTCCTCCCTTTCTCGAAATTTTGGAGTATAAAAAGGTATGAAACTCATCAATTCAATCTTCTGAATTCGTTTATGAGAGATGTTTTCAACTTCGCTTTAGTTTGTCGATTTTCATTCCATCTGTTTATGAATTCGTCTGCGTCTCATCAGATTATGGGAGGCTCTCCCTTACTCTTTGATCATCCCTCTACCAGCTATATGATTGGCCATTGTAATTGGTTTCTGTTTGAAGTTTTTCTTTGAACTTTGATATTCAATTGCGATCTGAATTGAGCTTTCTAATCGGTGGAACAGTCTTTGTTAATTCCTATTTTGATTTTAATCTCAGCTTGATTCTGAGAAGAGCCCATTTCAAAGGACGTATACTTGCTCAGGTAAGTTCATATCTCTTTCAGATGTTATGTATGTTCAAAAAAANGTTTCTGTTTGAAGTTTTTCTTTGAACTTTGATATTCAATTGCGATCTGAATTGAGCTTTCTAATCGGTGGAACAGTCTTTGTTAATTCCTATTTTGATTTTAATCTCAGCTTGATTCTGAGAAGAGCCCATTTCAAAGGACGTATACTTGCTCAGGTAAGTTCATATCTCTTTCAGATGTTATGTATGTTCAAAAAAAGTATATCTTACACTTAGTGGATATTTCTCCAAAGTCTTGACTCATTGTTGATATGTATGAAGATAAAAAAAAATGTGGAGAGATGAAAGAGATATGATACGTTTCTTCAAATACCAACAAAATAAGATTGAATTTTATCCCAAAGAGTTCCTAGATACGGACTTGGATGATGTAGGGATGAACCCATATGCTTACTTTTGTTTTTAATTTCTTGGAAAGCCATTGCCTCATCACTATAATTTATTTTCCTTCTTTCCCCTTTTCAGGTCAAGCTTGGAGAGCTAGAGTCTAAAAACTTGTGGAGTTTAGGTCTCATGTAACTGTTCTTACACGGGTGATATGAATTTTAGTTTAGGTCTCAGTCTTTTAGTCAGCTGTCACAATGAGTGTCAAGAGATTACTACTCATATTCACAACGCTGCAATGGCTGTCAATAGTACCATCCTTAGTGTATGGTTTGGCAACTCTTCCAAAGTTTATAAGTTTGATTGTAATAAGTACTAAACACTAACCAGAATACTATTATTGATGTTGTGTTTGCAGGATTTTATAAAATCTATGTTGGAGAAAGAGTACTTCAAACTTTAGCTTATAATACAGTTGCTTAGTATGATTCTGTTATCTTTTGTAGACAAAACAATGAGAATTAGTGAATAACTTCTTATAGGTTTTCTACTTCTATGTTTGATCTTTCCCTTTTGTTCTAATATGTCCGGTACATTTAATTCAGATTAAAATCTAAGAAAAATGTATTTACTTCCTTTTGCTCAATTTCTGTATGAAGTAAGCAAAGAGACAAAAATGTTCATCAAGAAAGAAGTAAATCATAATATTTAGTAAACTAATTTATGATTCCATATTATATACAACAATGTTCCGTAATGGCTGTGACCAAAATACAATATCTGAAAAAGTCACACAGACACACAGACCTCCTGTTTCAATATTCTTATAGACCCTTGGTATTTGAAACATAATTTAAAAGTCCTTACACAACGATCCACGATCAAGCTTTTACTTGATGTGCTCCTGAGTTACATATTTTGCTTCTACATACCTCTTACTCTCTTTCTTATTAACCAAGAAACAGGGTTCCAGAAACATAAAGCACAGTTTGAGCTGCAACAATGAACTAGTGCTAGAGAAACGACAAAGGGTAAGAAATGAAACTGGTGGTTCATCTGCAGAGACAAGACACACAGCTCAAGGAGAAGACACATAAGAGATGTATCAACAAAAGATGTGACTGAGTTGCAGAGACCTAAAACACAACTTGGGTTGCAAATCAAACAGTCAAAATCTAAGAATCAACTGGTGCAGAGGCAAAGGATCAAAGACGATGGTGCAGAAAAAAACAGTCAAAAGGTGGTTGAGCTCAAGGAAAGAAAGCTTAACTTGAGTTGGAATCAGGCGATCAAAATCTTTTATACAGGTCTTATAAGTTTCACACAAGGTAATATGTATTGAATAAGCAAAACTGGTGAATGAGTGACACATACAGAGGCATTGTTTAAGTAGCAATTAGAGAATTCAAAAGCTATGACCGAAATTCTGGAAAAAATTGCAAAAGATAGTAGATATATATAAAAAATGGTGGCAGAGCTGCAAAGGCAATGGAACTCTAAAATTCGCATTAAAATCATTATATTTTGAAATATTATAAGAAATTAAACAGTGTCGATTGTATAGACATTCAATTCCACAGAATAAATAAAAAATTAATTATCCTTGCTTAATATTAGTTTATTTTAATTATGTCAAAGTGAACATACCAATTTATAAAAAAAAATGGACATATGAACTTATAACCGAGAACCAAACCGAAACAGAATATAAGACTCGAATTCGAAACTGAATAAATATTCAAAAATAATCAAATTGTCAATCTCTGGAAACAGAAAAAACATACTGAACCGGAATTGAACTGGAACATAACCATAAAATCACCAAATATTTAGTATTTAAATTACCAAATATTTTAAACACGGTTTACAAACTAAATTACCTGAAAAGGCGAATAACATAAATATTTTTCTTTCCACAATGATTTAAAATTATCCCAAATTACCCAATAAGACCAAATTACCCCAATAGTTTATATCCAGATTATTTAAACTTATTTTAATTACTTGGTATTTATTCTAAAAGAAAAAGAAAAATAAAAAATGATTTATGTACCGAAATATCCAAATTTATCCAAACAGCCAGAATGAATTGAAACCAATATTTTATTAAATATAAGTCGATTCTAAATTTTTTTGCCTAAACCGAACTGAGACCTAAATTTTTTTAATAAATAGCCTTACAAATGTTTCTCTAGAATTGAAAAACTGAAGAAAAAAAGGCACTGAACCAAAAACCAAATAAATACCTATATTCAATAAGCTTGATAGAAAAATAAAATATTTAAACATAACAAACTGGCGATCGAACTCATAAATTTATTTTCAACAAATTTGTTCATGTTTTCATATTTGGTTCTTTATTTTAATCTACTTATTACTAATTTAACATTTATATCTACTGATTGGGTTGTCGAACCAGTGCTTTCTTCTAATGCATTTATCTAGGTATGTTCATTCTGGATTTCAGATTTTTTTAATAGTTTTTTGGTATTTTGGTTTATAAAAATTGATTATCATATTGGATCCATATTTAATTTGGTTTGGTTCGGTTTATTTGGGTTTACACAAAAACAATATAACTATATTCATCCTAGATAAAAATTAGTTTATGAATAGAAATCAGATTTAATTAAACATATATATTCCTTACAACAACTTTAAAATATAATATTTTCAACTTTATATTTATTATCATAATTATTTTTATGTAAATATATTTCTAAAACAAATATTTACCAAAAAAAAAATAATGTTTTATTTAACTTAATGAAAATGAGAAAAAATAAACAACTTTTTAACTTAAAGTAAAACACCAAATTAGTAGAATGGCTAAGATGGTTGAGAAAAATAGTAAACATAATGATGCAAAAATGGATCCAAATAATTAACTAAAGACTTGCATGTATATCTTCCCTATCTATGCATATAGATATGAATTGTGAAAGATTAACTTCAACTTTAAAGTGTTTATTACTTTATTTTCAGCACGAACTGATGTAATGCCATCCCCAAGGAGAAAAAGAAAATCAAAATAATTATCAAAATAGCATAGTTTATTTTAAACTTCAAAAAAAGAAAAAAGTACAGAATTTAATCATTATTTATATTTTTAAATAATAAAAATTAAAATAATTATTTACTCAAACTATTTCAATTATTTTCGAGTATACATCCCGCCCGTAGGGCGGGCCGACCCTAGTTTGGTATACAAAAATATGCATCTTAATTGTAAATATATTTAGGTGTTAAATGACAAAATAACATCAAAACAGTTTTAGGTGTTTAAAAACATTAAATATGAACTTAATTGTGGAGGAAACACATAATACAATATTTTGTATATCTTTATTAAAAATTACATACGTTAATTATTAACTTATGTTTATATTAGGATCATATATTACATAATTTTTTTATTATTATTTAATTATCTAATTTAAATTGTGTTATATATTAGTCCAATTCAAAGTTAATGAAATTTATTAATTTATCAAATATTAATGTATAAAGTTTCTGTTGTAGTTTGAAACGGTCTCATTGACAATGAACATTGAATGATTTTCTTGTGCTTGATCTTTCTTATAAATCGAAATCAGTGACTTGACATATAGTTTTGTTTACATATCAAGAAGTGGAGTTCAAGAAAGAAGTAAACCAACGAACAGAGTCCTTAGGGTATCTCTTGAGCTTGTCTCTATAATCAACGAAGTAGAGGCCAAATCTTGAACTGTAACCAGCCGCCCATTCCCAATTATCCAACAGTGACCACACAAAGTACCCTTTCACATTGCATCCATCCTCTTTAATCGCAGCTTGTAAGCTCGCAAGATAGTCATGATGGTACTTGATTCTCTTTGCATCTTTGAGAGCTGCTTCTCTTGAGATCAGAATGTTGTTTGAATCGTCCATTCCTACACAAAACACACACATAAATGAATAATCATCACCACAAATCTCTTTCTTGTGGCTATAGAGTGTTTAAGGATGTGTGTGTTAAACCATTTTCAGTGATAAATACTGGTGGGTTTCCATATCGTTGCTTGACGTAGTTCATCAAGCTTCTCATCCCTCTAGGCACTATGTACAACCATATCGAACTAGCCTATCCACAACAACAACAAAAATTAACACCAGGTTACAAATTTATTGGATACTTAAGAGTTATTAATTATAATATTTACTTACTCGATCTCCAATTGCGTTCAAACCCTTAAACGCTGAAATTGAAAACAAAGTTATTAATAAAGTGGTATGCATATACTTATAACTATGGTTTTGATTTAGTGAGAGCCAAGTGTGGTTTTGCTTACGTAGAGTGACGGTTCCAGAATCAGAAAGGGCATCGTGTAGGAGAGTGCCTATGAGATTGGTGTCATTGTTCCTTGCGTAGTACGTTGTGTAATGATTAATCCCTACAAAGTCTAGTGAACCCTTCATCAGAGCAGATTGAGATCCTGTGAACACTGGCAATCTGCTACCAACTCTGCTTCTCATCGAACTCGGGTAGTCCCCAAGCATCAACGGATCCAAAAACCTAACACCGGATTATAAGATATATCAAGAAAGGATTGTTTGCGTTATGAGACTAATATGTAAATTCGTTGAAGCTTACCATCCAAGTTGAAAGTCTTGAGCTCTTTGTGCAGCTTCAATGTCCTCTGTCTTGTTTGACTCCGGTTCATACCACATTACATCAAACGCTATCCCTAGTGAACCTCCTTGCTTTGCCTGTCATAAGTATACATCAGAATTGTATATCTTAACTTTCTTATAAATGTAATGTTTTCAATGTAGTATTGAGTTTACCTTATACTTTTTCCTGTAGATATCGGATACGGTGGCGTGAGTGAGAAGAACATTGTGACCAACGATGTAAGGCTCGGTAGATGAGTTTCCTGAGCGACAAGGGAGCTTAAAAAGAATAGAGCAACGGCCTGGAGCTTGTAGACCAACGTCGTAGCCTTGTATAGCGAAAGTGTGTGGCTCGTTGAATGTGATCCAGTGTTTCACTCTATCTCCAAATCTCTGGAAACAAACCTCTGCATAGGCTGCAAAATCATTTCTGCCAAAAACATAAAACCCATTAGTTCATTTATGTGGATGTAGTAGTTTTATTTTATGTGAGATTCTTTTTTTTTTTTTGTATGGGATAAGTTACATGATTTGTGGGTTTAGCCAACCGAGGTATCGGTCATGGAGTGCCTGAGGAAGGTCCCAATGGTACAACGTCACATATGGCTCGATCCCTACAATTGTTTTGTTATAGAATATGTGTACCTCAACCAACAACAATTTAAATAACATATATTCAATGATTGCTGATCACTAAAATCATGCGACAAGAAAATAATAATAAATACCTTTAGCAAGTAAAGCATTTATGAGCTTGTTGTAGTTAGTGATCGATTCCGGCTTCGTTTATTTGTCCCACTCCATCTGTAAGCAACACATAATATAGTCATCATTAGTAATCCATCCAGAGTCAGCTATAACTTAACAACATTAGTTTATAACTCAATATAAAATAGAACAAATAAGATAAAGTGAAAAGGTAAAAATGTACTTGGGAAGATGCGTGCCCATGAAATGGAAAATCTATAAGCGTCCATGCCCATGTTTTTCATGAGTTGTACATCTTCCTGCACTCGCAATTTTATAATTTAATTAAAACTAAGTACTTAATTTCTTTGGAACTGTATACTTTTTCAAATATTTGTTAATAGAATAAACTAGAGGTTACCTCGTAACGATGATACTGATCAACAGCAACATCGGCGTTGCTGAAATCACTGATTTTACCAAAAGTGTGGGAGAATGTGTCCCATATCGTTGGACCTCTTCCCTCTTCCTTCACTGCTCCCTCGTGCTGCACCAATCAGTAATTTTATTTTTTATTATAAGGCTTGGTCCATTATTATGTTCATTTCTTTTTGGGTATTTTTTAAAACACCAAATCTAAAATTCCAGCTAGAAAAATGGACCAACGTTAGTAATTGAAACATTAATTGGATGTGCTTGGTTAGGTAAGAAGATACAAGCAAAGACTTTGGGTTTACTTGACTTGATTAGGCTGGAATTGAGAGAAAGAGAAAATATAAATGTGAAAATGTATAGAAGAATGGGTCGTTGTTTCAATAGACCTAAACTTTTGGAAAGAAAAAAAAAACAGAACCCACAAGAAAAGGAGCAGGAAGTATTGAATGACCCGTGATTCATGAACGTATGTGGTCTTGTTTACGCGTCACACAATCATTCGTGTATTTATATATGGATCATATTTCAAGAACAAATACAACTACTTATCGAACACTTCGATATTTTTGGAAGAACAAAACATATCACATGGGGAACGTATATGTTCTGATGGCCTTATTTCTGGTCGTGGACAGTTTTGTTTTCAGATTTGTTAAAGCTTGAAAGGAAAAAAAAAATAGCTGATTACCAAAAAAAATAATAATAAATAGCTCATAAAAAAATAGATAAACAAACAGATTAAAAAATAGAAAAAATAAAGAGAGTGGAGAGGAGAGGGGACCTGAAAAGCAGAAGAAGCAGTTCCGAAGACAAAGCCCTTTGGGAAACTGCCTCTGGAGATATCCTGAGCACATATGCATCTCGTATCCATCATCATCATCACCACCAACATTACCATCACCATGATTAATCTCCTTGAACCCATCTCTCCTTTTAATATCTTCCTCTCCAGTTACATATATTTATGTGTAAACGTTTTGAATGAGTAAGAAATAAATAAAAAAGACGAAACAAGGAGAAAGAAAGAACAAAGAGGAATGCGAGTGAGTAAAAAAGCTATGAAGTGGGTGCTATATATAGGATGTGAAGGTGGGAGATATGAAATCTTCGGATCAAATGCCGATTAAAATGACAGTTTGAAATTTATAGGAAAGAAAAAATACATTAAAAATAATTTTAAAAGAAAACAAATATACTCTATCCGTTTTATTTCAGATGTAGTTTTAGATTCGTGAACAAAGATTAAAGATATATTTAAATTTGCATATTTTCTATACAAAAGCACCATTACTCATACACCTCACCATATTTGAATCAATAGAAAAATAAATTGGAGAATAAAATTACTAAATTTTCAATTGATATCCTAAAACGATACTTATTTTGTAGCGAATAATTTTCTCTAAATCGACACTTAATATGAAATGGAGGTAGTATAAAAGAGATATAAATACATGAAAAGTAATCAATTTTATGTATTAAAGAAGTGAGTTACTGCGTGCACAAAAAAAAAAAAAGTGAGTTACTGTATGTGGATAAAAACTAAAATTAGATGTGAGTTATTGACAATATATTTATGTCAGACTTTTAGTAACTTCATCAAGCACTATTAGAAAGAAAAAATAGTAACTTAGAAATATATTTATATAAAGTTTCAGTAAATTTAAATATCGGATATAAATTATATATGATGTATTCAAAACTAATTATGTAATCCGTTTTAAATTCTGGCATTTCTTTCGTTTCTGCTTCTTTGCTTTCTGTTATGCTATTTTGTAAAGGTATCATCTACTGGTTGTCTATACAACAAGGATAGGTTGTTGACTAACAACTTATGGCAAAACATCAACTTCTTAACCTTAGTAGTATAACTCACCAATACCGAAATTGACTTGTATATAAATATATATATTGGTAAGCCTTTCCACATAGCACAAAGGATATTACAAATAGGTCACTCTGTAATTTTTCGAACCATTGATGGTACGTATTTGATCTTTGATTCGTAGGCATTCAAACGAGAACGCATTTTGTTTTGATGTTTGGTAAAAAATGTTTTGTTGTTTGGTAAAAAAAAGAAAGAGATGTAAATACATAAGATTAGCTCTATGATCTCATGCTTTATCTCTTGATCTGTTAATAACATAGTGTGGATGAAAAGACTATGAGAAACCGCCAATAAACGGGTAGCAACTAGCAATTTATGACGAACGATGCTGCTACTGGTTAATTTGCGGTTGTGTGTTGTGGCTAGGGGTGGGCGCGGATCGGATATCCGGGTTTTTTAAGGTATTTGTGATTTGCTTCGAATGTTACGGATATCTAATTTTGGTATTTGCTTTGCTTCGAAAAAATACGGATATCCGGAAAAACGGATATCCGGAAAATAAATTGATATTTGCGGATATTTACGAATATTTACGGATATCTCATCCATTTTAATTAGTACAAATAATCTTAAGATTTTGATACAAATTTGCTTTGCAAAAATATTTTTTTTCATGATATAGAAAATAAAACTTAAAAGAACTAGTGAATTTATAGATTTTGTAATTTTTTAAAGTTTAAGTTACAATTATAATAACACAAAATTTAAGAAAAAAATATAATTGTCAAAAATATTTTATCTCTTTTTATGTAATAATTTTATATAAGTAATAATTTGAATAGAATGTTCAAAATCATGTGCTAGAATAATAATTATATAATTTTATACAATTAAAATTTTAAATATTTATATATTTACGGATCGGATCGGATATCCGCTTTCCAAAATTTTAATATTTGTGATTTGCTTCGATTTTAACGGATATTGAATTTTAGTATTTGCTTTGATTCGAAAGTTTACGGATATCCGGAATTTTCGGATCGAATCGAAACGAATAACGGATCGAATCAAATATAACGGATAAAATGCCCAGCCCTAGTTGTGGCCCCTCTTCTTCACACGACCACTTGTTCCTCTTTTTTTTTTTTTTTTAACAAAAATCCATACAAGAAAGAACTCATTCAACAATCACCACGCATTACGATGCTCTAGTTAGTTCCTATGTTGTTGATAAGGACCATTCCGTCTCTGTGTTCCTTTTTTGTGTGTGGGTTAATGTGCATCATATATGTGTGCAGTACATGTATGTGAATATAAATGAATTCACAAGTGGAATATTTACAAGTGGCTTGTGAAGTCATTGAATGTGTTTTGAAAATTCTTCACAAGGCGACACACGTAATCCAATTATTGCTTTCTACAAAAAAAAAAAAAATTACTAGTAATAAACAATAAAAAAGGTGGATGGAGGATTGGGGAGTTGCGCAATTATATGTGCACTTTATAATCACTTTTATATGCGTTTTGTTAGATTCACACTAACAATTCAACGACCTCCAACACCCTTATTTTCTTTCTACTCTTTACCCATTTACACACTTGTGTTCACATTCTTTTCTTTTTTTTCTTCAACATATCTTGTGTTCACATTCCTATGCGTTTATTTTATGAAATTGACAAAAAAATGCGTTTATTTTATGAAATTGACAAAAAAAAATGCGTTTATTTTAGCTTTACCTTCATATTTATATACTTCTCTGGCATATTCCGCAACTGGTAGATTCTAGAAACCATATTTCTTAAGATCTCCAATAGATATTCCCAAAGCCACTAACCTTAAAGGTACCACCGTTGTTAAAACGATCGCTTGTTCGTTCAACAAAATATACACATTAGCTTCTGGGAATCATTTCAGAGATGAGCTCTAGCTCTTATGCAATCAACACCGAAAATGTATCATGGGATCATCATTATTCAAAAGGACATACGGTTTTTAAACAATTTTGCAGCAAACCATTTTGGCCAGAACAACAAAGGCTGTGTTTTTTATATATAGAGTACAAAAGCAACTAGCAAGCGACTTCCACAAGAGCAGAGCAGAGCAGATATGGAAACTGTCAGTTCTTCCTTCCCTCAGACAGGATAATGTGGTATCCGTGCCTGCAATCATCTCATTCTATCACTCAACTAACTTAAGCAAAAACAAAATCAGATTTGAAAGAAGAGAGGGAAGGAGGATGTGTACATACGTAGATTTGAAGGGAGCACTGGTGACACCAACAGGGGTGTTGAAGGCAACATCTTGGAAGGGACCTGCCATCTTTCCCCTTGGGAACCATCCAAGATCTCCTCCTTTTTTCCCTGATGGGCACTCCGAGTACTCTGCTGCAATCTGACATAGTTCCACGCAAATAAAAAAAAAATTTCCTTGTTTGAGATTCTCCACCCATACATTTTCTACACAACTATGCACATATAGATAACCGAAAAACTGAAACTCGCTAAATATCAAGTGGACTCGTATAAGTTATGATACGTGTCAAAAAAAGCTAGAGATGGTACATGCACTATGTTAAGACTGGATGCTTTAATCCATTAACAAGAAAACAAAGAGAGCAAAACTTAGGAAGTTTCACCTTTGCAAACTCAGCAGGAGGAACCTTGTCTCCGTTGCTCAACCAACCATCTTGCAACTTTTTGTAAGCCTCGTTGATCTTTCCTTGCTTTTCGCACAAAACGTGTCTCGCTGAAATACAAAAGTCCCATTGCAGCGTCACGACAACATTTCCATGTTACTAACGATGTCTCAAGTTTGTATATAGAAGAACACAAGTATTAAAGACAAGAAATGAACTGAAAAAGACAAACACACACAGACAGAGACCTTTAACATAAGTGCATGTTCCGAGACCATCAGCGGCTTTACCAGCTTTGCCTTTACCCTTGGAGGGAGCTTCATCACTGCCACTTGCTTGCTTTCCCTTACCCTTCCCTCCACCACCACCTTTTGCGTCTTTCCCCATCTATCTCCTTTCAAACTCTGCTACAATCAACCCTATATTAGCTTTACTATCATCATCAAATTTCAGGGTTTTAGCATGACATACACACACATACACACGTCTTTTAAAACCCTAAAAGCCCCAAACCCCTGAAACAAAATGCAAGTGACTTTTGGAATCTCTAATTGGTAAACACGAGAATATGGCTTAAAGGACAGACCTTTGAGGCATCAAATCAACAACTTAGTATGCTCACATCCATTCAAAGTTCATAATTATCACATCACAACAAGATTTCAGATTCTTTTTTTTTTTAAAAAAAAAAGAGTAACGAAACGCAAGGAACGACCAATAAACTACAAAATCCATTATCAAAGGAGCTCTCTTTTGAAACGAATGATCATGAAAAGTCGAGAAATTTACAAGGTGAGCAGAAGAAGACGATGCACTTTACCTCTCACCTTCTTCTCGCAGATTGAACAATGGATCGAGAAAAAGAGAGAGAGAGATTCTAATATCATTGACACGGAATATAACCCATTAATTGATATGGGCTCGGCCCATTAACTAGAAGTGCATTGGATTAATTGAATCGAACCAAGTCAAACCGGATTAATTCGAATCGAACCAACCAAACCGGGCTTTGGGTTTTAGAAAACTGCGAGTGAAACAAGAGTCTTTGACGGCGTCTCTGCAGAAGAGAGTGGAAAAATGGCGGACGATGAAGAACCACCGATGGCTATTCAAATCCAACCGGATATTAAGACTCTCTCCGCGGAGGAATCGACCGATACTGTTTCCGTTGGTGTCACCGTCATCACCGGTTATCTCGGCGCCGGAAAGTCCACCGTAAGCAAATGAGAATTCCCCTTATTCGTTTTAATCTACGTTATCGACTGTTAACTGTTATGTGAATTGATTTTTTGCTCACAGCTTGTGAATTATATTCTGAACGGGAAACACGGGAAGAAAATCGCGGTGATTTTGAATGAGTTTGGGGAAGAGATTGGAGTAGAGAGGGCTATGATCAACGAAGGTGAAGGAGGTGCTCTTGTTGAAGAATGGGTCGAGCTTGCTAATGGCTGTATTTGCTGCACTGTTAAGCATAGTCTTGTTCAAGCTCTTGAGCAGCTTGTTCAGAGAAAAGACAGGTTTCAGAAAATCATTGCTTTTTCACCTCTTGATTTGGTAAAAGATTAGAGTATATAAAATCAGTCTGCTTTTGCTTTGATGGATGCAGGCTTGATCATATATTGTTGGAGACAACTGGTTTAGCGAATCCGGCTCCTCTGGCTTCTATTCTTTGGTTGGATGACCAGTTGGAATCTGAAGTCAAGCTTGACTGCATTGTTACTGTCAGTTTCTTACTTCATCAGCCTACTTCTCCTACCATTTTATACACAGAGAACATGAGTTGTGTTAATACATAACATTGTCTATGTCCCTTTGTCATTTAAAGCTAGTAGTATTTCCCATTTCTGGTTAATTCTTTCTTTGTAGCATATATGTCTCAGGTTACTTGTTCTCTCTCTCACTGGTTCCTGTAATAGTTCCTAATGACTTTGCTGCTGCAACAGGTCGTGGATGCAAAGAACCTTCGTTTTCAGCTCAATGAGCGCCGTGACTCATCTTCATTTCCCGAGGCTTTTAATCAAATAGCATTTGCGGTAATCATCTTCTGACACAACCAATAAAAGACAATTCAACATCTTTTACATCTCACCTCACTGTGATTTTTTTTGGTTCGGTTTGTAGGACACAATAATAATGAACAAGGTTGACTTGATTTCTCAAGCAGAATCTGACGAACTGGAGAAGGAGATTCATTCCATCAATTCCCTTGCCAATGTCATCCGTTCTGTCAGGTGCCAAGTTGATTTGTCCAACATATTGGACTGCCAAGCATATGATTCAACCGTTAAGTCTCGTTTACTTATCTTCTTTATCATCTATGATTGCATGTATACCTGCTCGAGTACTATTTATGCTTCTGACTGTAATTATTGAACCTTTTTTCCTTAATCACTATTGCATTTAGCATGTTAGTCGTCTCGAATCCCTGCTAGAAGCAAATAAATCATTAACGACAACGGATCTTCATGATAGTGGGGTGAGGACTCTATGCATCAGTGAACCTCAACCTATAAACCTCGACAAGGTAGCAAACTCATGAATCATTACTCAACTAGTGGTTAAATAATAGTGTTCTTCGTGACACACCTCCTTGTTCGTTGATTTATAGGTTCGTTTATGGCTTGAGGAAATTCTGTGGGATAAAAAAATGGATATGGATGTATATCGTTGCAAGGCTGTGCTGAGCATTCAAAACTCAGACCAGATGCATATTTTGCAGGTAATGTAGTCATGAAATGAAATATGAGTAAAGATCTTGTGACCACCCGGAATGTTCTTCTTCACATTGACTCTATGTTATTGAATATGCACAGGCCGTTAAAGAGATATATGAGATAGTTCCAGGGCGAAAATGGGGTGAAGAAGATAATAGAGTGAACAAAATAGTGTTTATAGGTCAGATCTCCTTTTTGCATCATAGTTAACAATATTGCTAACAAAACTCTACTCACTGCTTACTGATTCATGAAACTGAACATGTGCAGGACACAAACTGGACGAAGAAGTTCTTAAAACTGGGTTAAGAAAGTGCAGACCCTGAAGAAAAACCTTAGATATTGCAGTGAAAACCAGATTGGTCTAAACCATTTTTGTTTTTTTGCCGATATGGTACTAAGCTCTCTAGTATCAACTGCTGAATTGAGGGTATTAGAGTGTGATTCTACCATAATGTAATTTACAGCAGAATCTTATAGTTGTTTAATCGATATATTTTGTGCCACTCATTTTTCAATCAAATTTTGAACAAACTCAACTAAAATTTCTACAGTTATTTAGTCACAAAAACCATCCAGAGTTAATATCTACCTTTTTCTACATGGTAACAAGCAAAGCACTACAAAATCTTTCTTCATGAACAACCGCGTTACATGCTCTCGCCGAAGCGCATAGACTATTTCTATACTCTATTAATCAACTAGTAGAACAAATTGGAACCGTGCATCCCCAGCAGACATTGATGCGGTAGGAACTAGGGTTAGGTGGGCACTGGACATTGGTAAGGCGAAACAGATGATGTTTCTTCTCTATCTCTCCTTCTCTCTCTCGTAGTCATTTTCTCTCCATACCTCTGGAATATATCCGCCAAATCAAACAAACCCACTTCTCTAAGTTTCTTAGCCATCTCCTCAAACATCACCACACCTTCCTCATTAGAGTAACAATGCAAGAACTTGCTATAATCAAACCTAGGAACTTCAACCCCTCTCTTCAACGTCCTCTCAACATACTTTGTAGTCTCAAACTTTTTCCCCGCCTTAACCATACCTCCAACGAATATAGTATCAAAATTCACCAACGGGTCTGGTCCTTTCCTTCCTCTCCTCCCCAAATGTCCTTGCAGTAACATAAGATACGTATGCATTATCGGCTCACACCCTCTCTCTATCATCTTCCTAAAAACCACCGTTGCTTCACTAGCCCGTTTAATCTTCACCAACCCTTTTATCAATGCATGATAGATACTAATATCCGGATTCTCAACCCCCTCGACCGTCTTATACGCCTCTGCAACTCTTCGTTTAACCAACAACCCATAGACTATCGACGCCCAAGTTAAGTTATCCACCTCAACCCCTCTCTCACGCATTTCATCGAACACCTTCCGCGCTGTATCAACCCTCCCATTTCTACACAACCAATCAATCATAACCCTGTAGAAAGACACATCCAAATCTCCACCTCGTTTCGACACCAACACATAAAACACCTTAGAAGCTTCATCAAACTGATTCTTCTTCAAAAGCGTCTCCATAATCTTCTTACCAGCTACAACATCAACTTCAAACCCATCATCCATCATCAAATTCCAAATCTTCACAGCTTCAACCAAATCACCAACATTACAAAACCCTTCAACCATCATCCTATAAGTCACCTCGTCAGGTCTAATAAAATCTCTCAGCTTAGCAACAACATACTTAGCTTCTTCCACAAGCTTCCCCTTACACAGAGTCTCCACCACTCTGTTCATCGTCTCCACATTATAACTATACCCAAACCCATTCATCAAATGGAAAAAGTTAACGCATTTCTTCATCTCTCTAGCGGAAGCAAGCGTCTGCAACACGACACGGAACGTCTTGTCGTTAGCCAACCCTCGTCTCCCTGTTTCTTGAGCGAGTTCCCAGAAAAGATCCATGTTTCTTGATTTCCCGATGATCCCGAGGACCTTGTTGGAGGTGACGGAGGTGTGGGTGAAATCTTGGTGGTGGGTTTGAGAGTAGAGGAAGAAGCGGTGGATGGGACGCCATGAGAGAGGGAAGTTGTTGCAGACTTGGAGGAAGAACTCGTGTGTGAGATGAAACTCGGTGGAGGAGAGTTTGGAGATGAGTCGTGAGTCGGGGGAGTTTTGTTGTTGGTAGAGGATTGTGCAGACGCGGAGGAGGTGGTCTTGGTTTATGGGAGTGATTGTGGTTGGAGGTTGTTTCGGTTGAGTTAATTCGGTGGTGAAACGGCGGTGGAGGAGGAGGAATCGCTGGATTGGGTGTTTGATGTTAAGCATCTTCCGACAAGGAATGACGACGATGCTCGTGACTTTTCCGGCAAAAAAAACTGTAATAAAAAGGAGCAAATATTAAAAGAAAACTAGGGTAAAAAGGTAGAGTAGCATTTAAAAAATAGAAAAATATTGGAGATGCGGGGGATCGAACCCCGTGCCTCTCGCATGCAAAGCGAGCGCTCTACCATTTGAGCTACATCCCCTGTGTTTTTTATCTTCATTCATGTACTATATGACAGCTACGACGTCGTTTTTTTTTATTTTTTGAAACACCGAAGCGAAAAGTCCGTTAAGTTGGTTAAAAGGCACCTAGGAACTGAAGGTTGAGATTCGGTCTTCTTCCGCAATTCGCGATACCATCTTTCAGTTTCTTTCCTCCTTTCTGTTCCAATCAGTTTTTTATTCTTTATTTATTTATTTACCTCTCAGAGGAAAAACACAAGAAGAAGAAGAAAATAAAACAAACACAACAGAAACCAAGAACTCTGTTTCCGACACATTATCGTGAACCAAAAAAATGTCGTCAGGATCCGACAAAGAGAGAGAGACATTCGTCTACTTGGCTAAGCTCTCCGAACAAGCCGAGCGTTACGATGGTACGTTAATTAATCTCTCTTTAATGTCAAAACATCTTTAATTTGTCAGTTGCAAATTAAATTACAATATGAACGGTTTGGTAATAATCTTTGCAGAGATGGTTGAGACGATGAAGAAAGTGGCGAAGGTGGACAGCGAGCTGACGGTGGAGGAGAGGAATCTTTTGTCCGTTGGTTACAAGAACGTGATCGGAGCAAGACGTGCCTCGTGGAGGATCATGTCTTCCATCGAGCAGAAAGAAGAGTCTAAAGGCAACGAAGCAAACGTGAAACAAATCAAAGGTTATCGCCAAAAGGTAGAAGACGAGCTCGCGAACATATGTCAAGACATCCTCAGCATCATTGATCAGCATCTCATCCCTCACGCTACCTCTGGAGAAGCCACCGTTTTCTATTACAAGATGTAAGAAATAAGATAAACACTCTTCACTTGCATTATCGTATAATTAATGCAAATGATTTGAAATGGTGTAGGAAAGGAGATTATTACCGTTACTTGGCTGAGTTTAAGACCGAGCAAGAGAGGAAGGAAGCCTCTGAACAGTCTCTTAAAGGCTATGAGGTATCATCTTAATATGTTTTTATTCTCTATCACTTTGAAGATTATTGGTCTGATAGAGTTTTGTATTTTGATTAGGCTGCAACACAAGCAGCAAGCACTGAGCTTCCTTCGACCCACCCGATTCGTCTTGGCCTTGCTCTTAACTTCTCTGTTTTCTACTATGAGATCATGAACTCTCCTGAAAGGTCTCAATTCATTTTTTAACAAACATTCAATACCATCAGGTGTCAACTTTGTTTGTAATGTGGTTAATAACTGTTGCAGAGCTTGCCATTTGGCGAAGCAAGCCTTTGATGAGGCGATTGCGGAGTTGGATACTCTAAGTGAGGAGTCGTACAAGGACAGCACTTTGATCATGCAGCTCCTGAGAGACAACCTCACCCTCTGGACTTCTGATCTTCCTGAAGATGGAGGTTTGTCTGAAAATCACACAAATATGATCAGCTCAAAACAAGATTGTTTATAATATTGGGTTTTTGTTCTTGTTTTCAGGTGAAGACAACGTCAAGACTGATGAACCCAAGAAAGAAGAGGCTAAGCCTGCAGAAGCCACTGAGGTAATTAACCTGTAATAAGGAGTATGACTTGTGTTCTATGTTTGGTCAAAAATGTCATTTAATTTTGTTTGTTTTCAGAACTGATCAAAGTACTTTGGAAGTTGAAATATGCCCAGAATGGGGAGGCCAATGATTTTAAATTCCATAGCTTTGGTTTCATCAGGAAGATGGGATGAGAGACAACTGAATTCAATCCTATATTGTTCTTTTTTTTTTCTTCTTATTACCTTTTTTGTTCTTTCTTTTGTTGTCATCTCATGATATCAAATATTTTACGTTATCGATTTATATTATCATTTGATCAGATATCTCATGATATCAACTGTATTATTAAAAATTGCCAACCAACCAAAAAAAAAAACACAGATCTAGCTCTAAATGTCATCATGAAAAGACAACAAAAACATGTTTCTATTAAACTCCTTGACAGAGTAAAAAGATCAGTGGTGCATTGTTCTATATTAATACTGCATCATATACAATAGGATAAGAGCTGGGGACAAACCTAACCAACCACCATATACAAAGAGAGGCGTGAAAAGGAAACAAACACCACTTCTCCTTTCTTCCTTTTTATTCTTCTTCCTTTTCAAAGTAACTCTGCGGTAAGGTAAAGTCCTCCTCGTGGTTAAGAACGTCAACGTCCTCATCATCTGATTTCTGATCAAAGTCCAGAGGTAAACCATCAGCACAATTTTTAAATAGCAGCCAGCTTAAAAGCCAAAGCTCTATGTAGCATCACAATAGTCAAATGCTTGATACTCACCAGCATCTCTATATTGTAAAATCGATCCAGTAGCTGCAGAACCTCATCCGCTGTAAACTGTCTGTCAAAGCTATGGATGATAGAAAAGAAAACTTCTTTAAGGTCCAGACAAATCCTAAAAAGTACTAAGGAAATGTCAGAACAAACCTTCTGCCAAGATATTCCATCAGACCATAGAGAACAAAGTGGCGATGTATGCCTGCACAAACAACATTAGAACATAACCCCATTAGTAGAAAGCAAGAAACCAGAGGAGTGATCAGTTCCATCGATTGAATAAAAGGAAAAGAAAATGGTTCCTTTTTTGGTAAAGTTTTATGCTTTATGATCAATAAGACAGAGAAAGAGGCATTTTCAGACAGGACAAGGAACAAGATTTGCTTTTTGAAGGGAGAACTTGCCTCGGAGTTTAACGGGAGGATAGATTTCAAGAGCTTCTAATAACGTGAGCTCCAATTCAACCTCTGACTGCTCCTGAAAACCAAATCCAAGAGCAGAGGAACCATTAAAGTCACATTAAAAAAAAAAAGCAAATGGCAGTTAGAGAGAGAAAGAAACCTTGGAAAGAGAGGAGGCAGAGGAAGGTAAGGCTTTACAAGGAGAGTGTACGGACATGCCGTCTTGCTCTTCTTCCTCTTTGTCTTTACCTCCGACAACAACTTCGTCATTCCCTCCACCCATCTTGTTTAGTTTCCTTCCCTTTCTACAACCAGTTTAGGGTTTCGTGTCTTTGATCCCAGGTGAAATGTTTTCAGAGCTGTGTTGTGAATCTGTGAGACAGAGCCTCTCAAGAACGCACCTGGACTCTCAATTGGGCCGGCCAATTCTCAAGGCCCTGTCTCCGGTTTAGCACTCTCTCAACCATTATTCAAGGATTACAAAGATCAAAAAGTGTAAGCTTGGTTTGGTGGTTACTGTAAGAAACAAAGGCTTTCTATAGAGATGTCAATTGGGCTCTCCCGTCCCGTTCCGGACCGCTGCGGGTTCATCTTCTAGCGGGACACGGTTTTGAAAGTAGTGGCCCAATTCCGTACCGCATTTTTTGTAGGCATTCGCAGGCCGTCCCGCGGGACATGTGATAATATGTGCAGCTGAATGATTCAAACCCCTCCAAAACGCTTTAGGCCATTTTAGAACATAGTTCAAGTCTTCGATTCATACTGAACATAATTCATCAATCATTGATTTGCTTATTTTTTTATTCAAACAATAATTGTAATTATTTGTATCACAGCCAAAACATATTAACATACAAAGTAAAAATAATTGCAGAAAATATTTTTCATTATCTTATAACTCATAAGTTCATAACCAATGTTTTAGTTTTCTGAATCCAAAAATTAAATAAAATGAAACATTAAAACAAAAATGTCAATCCCATATTAAATAAAAAAGAATCAAATGAAAACACTACTAAAACTCGAATCGTCATCGCTGGAGATGTAGTCGTCATCACCGGAGCTCGAATCATTATCACCGAAGCTCAAATCATCATCATCGCCCGAGCTCCTTATGTTTTCTCAAGGGAAGTCACATGAATCGTCTTCTTCTCACTCATTCTCTCGTTTTTTCCAAGTAAAACAAAAAAAAAAAAAAAAATGCGGGTCCTTGTAATCCCGTGGGATCTGTTTCGACCCATCCCACAAAAGATCCAGTCCCAGTACCGTTCCGCGACAGTTCTATACGGGCTAGGCCCGCGTTCCAGATCCATAATTGCCATCTCTAGCTTTCTATCTAAACTATTAAAACTGAAGTACATTTAGAACTTAGTCCTAACTTTTCCACAAAAATTACAAGTGAATGCCACTGATCTAACCCATTAATTTCTTAAACCAAAATAATTGGTTAAAACCATTCCTTAATTAAATTCGACTATAACTAAACCGAAAATATATTGTGTCTATTACAATTTAACCGTCCAAACCAACTATTCTAAGATATAAGGAGCGACTAAATGAGTGTATTGTAAATAAAGAGAATATTCTTAAAATAATTCCTCCAATTAATAGCATGAGCAGTTATGGAATATTTCCAATATTTTCTTCTCAGTAACAAAAACAACATAAAATCACGGCAATCCTAATTTATAATTGTATTTCTAAATACGAGCTTGCTTTTGCATTCACATTTTTGTTTCTTAGAATATACTAATTTAATCGTCTATAAGATAAAAACAATAAATATATGTATACTCCTAACATCCTGGTTCCCTCTAAATCTTACCTAATATCATGCATATATATTTTAAAACTAAGCTATTGTTCTACTAAAATCACTTACAAAGTATATCCTTTCTAAATCACAAAGATACTAATCATTTAGTTAGCAAATATATAGCTACCCAAAATCACACATAAATCTTATATAAAGAGCACATCATTGAGTCAAAAAAACATAACCATTAGACAATGGCTTCAAACAAGACCATCACAAAACTCAAAGACTTCAAGCCTTTTAAATGTAATTGGTGTGTCCAGGTCAAGTTGCTTCACTTATGTAAGCAAAATACCACTTATGTTGGGGACTCTCTAGAGTTGATTTTGGCATATGAAACGGTTAGTTACAGTTTTGATTACATGACTACACAAATACTATGTTTTTAGTTTCAATATCAATACCAACATTGTCATCATATGTTTTCAGGGTATGAAAGTCCATTGCTCATGCAAGAAAGATAAAATATCCAGTTCAACATAATTGGCCCTTGGGTGAATGGCGCCTCATTGAGATATTTTCATTCTTACAAGCATCTGGTCGTGGATAAATCGTGGATCTATTGATGGATGAATCATAGATTTCGGTATTAATTCACCTATTGATGGATCGTGGATGAAGAAAAATCCTAACTTCATTGACTGATTTTTTTTTTTATAAACGTAAAGCTAACTAAATTTTATTTTTCTTATACTAAGTTGTTAACAGTGTAAATAGGCAATTTGTTAAAATACGCATCCCATTAATCTAATATTTATTTCAATTCGGAACATTGTTTTTTGTTTTGCTATTAAAAGGCTAACCAAATAAAAAGTGGAAAAATTTGTATCTAATCTATTAAAATATAAATACATTTAGTACTTAAACTTAACTTTTGCTTAATATTTACAAGAACTTGCCATTGAATTTAAATGAAATTTTGATACATTTATTAAAGGTGTTTAGTTAATTTAATTACCATCCATTATGAGATTCTACTTAGCTAAGATCACAGGCTGGGTTTGTTCTAATTAGTAATTGATTTTATTTTCCAAATATAATCCACCAATATAGCTAACATTACCAATTCCGAAAATCAATTTATTACTCCCTCCGTTTCATTTTAATTGTCATTCTACGTTTTTGCACACAGATTAAGGAAACATTTAATTTTACATATTTTCAAGAAAAAAATACAATTACCTATACACCTAACCACTTTTCAACCAATAGAAAAATAAAATATTATATAAAACTAATAAATTTTATCTCGAAACTATAAAACGACACTTATTTTGAAACTGTTGTGAAATAAGAAGGTTTGTTGTAACTCTATATATCTTATTCATCACGTGCACATACATATATATACATACAAGAGAATAAGCATATTCCTTAGGAGATAAGGATTACAACAATAAAGGGGATGATTATCCTAATCCTATAATGATTAGGATAACTACAACATATGGATAAATACAAGGAGGATAAGTACAAGCTGCTGGCCGCCTGGTCTTGGTACTGAAGTGATACTGATGTGGTCTGGTCCATTTCCCGGATATGTCCCAACCACCATCTTCATTTCTTAACACTCCCCCTTGGTTGATATATCCGGTCAAAGTTCATTTCATGCTTTGGATGTTGCCTCATTAAAACCTCTCCTGGTAAAACCCAAAACCCAATGTGGTAAAAAGGGAAAACCAAGGACAGGACAAAAGAGTACAACACATGAAACTCCCCCTGATGAATACACNGTAAAACCCAAAACCCAATGTGGTAAAAAGGGAAAACCAAGGACAGGACAAAAGAGTACAACACATGAAACTCCCCCTGATGAATACACCACTGACGTGTGATCATCTTGGAACTTCTAGTGTCTCTTAATGTCTTCTGGAACTCCATTAAGACATGGTCATGTCGTGCCTCTCATGCCACTGACCATTCTATGTCCTGATTGGACTGATTTCCTTGTCGGACTGGTGCCCTGGTCGGATGGTACTTGACCAGTTCTTGGATGGGCTTATGATCTGCATACAACCATTGTTTGCAGGCCCATCTAATGTCCTCTTATGTCCCACGGATCCACTGATCACATGGCCTAGCCATTTCGTGGACATCCTATATAGAGTCATAGACCAAAACATATATGAACCATCCTTAGGTTCTTATGGACACTCCTAGTCCATTTGGTCATATATCAATTGTATGGGCTAATGGCCTTGTCCATTATGATCGATATCCTTTCCTATCCTTTGGGTAAGTTCATGTTAAGTAATAGACCTTAACTATCACGTCCATAACCTTATGAGTTACCTCACCAGTTGCTGCAATGAATAATATGATCACATCAAACCATGGATCTGCAGCAAATGCTCATGGACCTTTAAACATGACTTTATCGACCTTTCTTGCCTTTAGCAATACAATATCCATTAGGACTTAACCATGCCTACTTTTGGTCACTCTTTTGGACTCTTATAGTTTTCTTTATCCATTAATACAAAGCTTAATGGTCGTGCCTTCATTCAAGTCCCACACTATAACCTTTGTACTTAAACATCACATACCATACTTCCTTTGATGGTGTCCCATGACCTCCTTGTATTAAGCAACGTACCAAAGTACATTATGGTCATGGACCTTACCCACACATGTCTTTGCAACTCGCCAATGAGTGGTTATATCATAACCTAATGTTGCCTTAACAACATGACTTGTGTGTGGTGATGTATAGGTACAGTTTATACTACATTGGTTCCTTAAGACCTTTAAACTATGCACCTTGATAGTCTAGTACCTCTAGGTCATAAGCACGTTTTGAACCAACATATTGGTCATCACACCATGGATGATTTGGACTTAGAATGTACCCGGACCTTAGCTTTGGTCGGTATGAACTTTGGTATGGACCAGATGGCTTCCTTAGCCTTTCCATACGCCCACTTCTTATGAAGTGTGGTAGTGCTGATCTCAACACATATACCAATGACTTAAACCAATGAATAAGTCATTTTACCATCCATCCTTCCTATGGATTGGTTTACTATACACCTTTTGTATAATACACATGGACTGATTGTACCAAGTATTTTCTTAGTATTCCATATTACTTGCAGCTGCATAATATCAGTCTATGAACAGCTTAGGAACAATGCTGTTCTTGAGAATTCCTTTTCTCATTTTCATGGTTTTCCTTTAACCATTAATCCAGTGAACCATATGCTACTTACTACCTCATTATATGTCAACTTCTGACCAGACATTTGCCAATTTCGAATTTGACTAGTAGCATCCACCACTTAGGAGATTATCTCCTCATAATATGTTCCTAT